TTTTTGTAAAACAACATATTGATGCATGGGTGACACGTCTTCTAATTGTAAGGAAATTGAAGAAAAATATTAAAAAAATGCGATATACAATTATGCCGACGCCTTTTCACGTAGTTCACTTGAAGAATCAACGACAGGAATCATATGTGTTGGCTAATGGACAAGCTAACCTTTATCCTGCATGGTGGGAGGTCGATAAGGTTAGTATATTTGTTTAAATATTTTAAAGGTGTTCATAAATAAGTGCGCAATTTGAATTATTACATTTCGATGCATGTGTTTATCCCTGTTTTGGACCGTACTCATTGGCTTCTCGTCGAGCTTCAGCTCCCATCCCTAAAGACAATAGTATATGACAACATGATAAATTACATATAATTGTCTGATTTAAGAGATATGATTAAGGGATGGAGCTCTCATTTGGCTAAATTCTTGGTTGCAATTGATTATTGGACTAAGTCTGGAAACAAGAAGCTAAAGAAGTTCAATGTTACAGTTATCAAAGATGAGACCGCGCCACAACAAACGAAGGAAGCAAGAGGGGATTGTGGTCCTCTCGTATGCATGTGCTTGGAGCTTTTGACGACAGGAAGTACACATTTTCTACCTCCCACCAATAGAGATAGAGGTGCAGTAGGCTTGTGGTTTCGACATTTTATGGCTAGAGAGATATATGCGAGACGCTGCCTACCTGCATCCGCGTTATGAAAGTGTCCATAAACAATTTGTAAGTCAAATGCAAGTGTTGTTAAACATATATACTCTTTTTGGTTTGAAAATGTTTGGTTAAGTAGCTAGAATTCAATAATTTGTTGTTTGTAGGTTTTAGATGTGTAGAAAGTGTTGTTGATTCAATGTTTAGTTTCTGCAGGTTAATCCTGAAGTGAGCTGCGTGAAATGGATGTATGGGTGTAAAAGTTAATTTCATTATTATTTTTTGATTGTTTAATTGATTTGTAAAAGATGATTTGTAAATATTGATTTGTTTAATTGATGTGTACATAATATTTGTGCTTGTTTAATTGATTGAAATGTAATAGTTGATTTGTTGATTTCAATTTGCATTATGTTGAATGCAAAACAGACTATCGCAACGCGGAAATGACTATCGCAACGAGAGAATCGCAATTCGAAATGAAAATCGCAACGAGTGAATCGCAATGCGAAAATGAAAATCGCAACGCAAAATTTCATTTTCGCATTGCGATTCACTCGTTGCGATTTTCATTTCGCATTGCGATTCTCTCATTGCGATAGTATTTCCGCGTTGCGATAGTCAATTTCGCATTGCGATAGTCATTTCCGTGTTGCGATAGTCATATTCGCGTTGCGATTTCCGCGTTGCGATAGTCAAATGAATGTCTAATAAGTGATAACAACTGAACATATCATAGCAATGTTCAAACTCAAGTTACTAATACATGCTTAACTGAAAATGTTAAAAGTTCACACATAATATACACATAATACAACGTTTGCATTTAAAAATCACCTAAGTTAACAGTCCCAAAAGGTGAAGCCAGTTGTGATTGGGATTTTGATGAGGATCCATATGTTTTCCAGGTAGCCTTCTGTCTATGGTTGGTGGCAAAACTGTTTGTAAGTTATCTGGTATGTCCCACTCAGAAGGATGTGGAATAGGGTAGATAATCTCTCCATAAGTCTGTCGATATACTTCTGTAGTGTAGCAATCCATAGCGTATGCGCTTGAATCATCTTGGTTTAGATGAAGAGAAACTTTTATAACATGGCCACACGGATAACCAGATGTTTGCCATTTCATACAACTACACGTCTTTGCATTTAGATCGACAAGCCCATTTAAGTTATTATCCAGTACTTCAAACAAAATGTTTGAACATGGTTCAACTCTCCATGACGTTGACTTCACAACACGTTTCGTTATCTTTTTTTCTGTCCATGGTGTAACACGATGTTCCAATGTTCCTGTAAATTTAAATAAATAATACTTAGTAAAATATATGATAAGTTACGAATTTAAAGAAATAATACCTGCATGGTTTCTTTTTTTGTAGTACCACTGTTAAATAGAGACTCAAAAAAACTCCATTAACATAGTAATGGGTAATTTCTGGGAATGACGACTTAGAACGTTGATTGATTCTGCACTATTAGACGTCATAAAACCATATCTTGCTCCAAGTTGATGTACTCTTGACCATCTTTCAAACCCGACATCTTCTAGTGTTTGAGCACACTGAGGCAAAACACGTCTTAAACAGTTTATATGCTTATTAAAATCCACTTCCCGATAAGATTTTACAGCCTTCCTGTATGTCCATTTGTGATTTTTTATACCAGCAGACCTTGATTTTAGATTTCTATACAAATGAACACCACAAAGTCCATGAAAAGCATCTGGGAAACACCTTCTAACAACGTTATCAATTGAGTTTGCCCTATCGGATATGATTGTCAGATTGCTAATAGGACCTATGCAATCCCTAAGATGCCCCATAAACCATGTCCATGAATCAGAGGTTTCAGGTTTGCCAACCCCGTAAACTATTGGAAGTATCCCATTATTAGCATCCATGGCTATTGCTAATAAGTTTACTCCAAGGTATCGACCTTTTAAATGTGCTCCGTCAACTATAATAACTGGGCGCATGCAATTAATAAACGAACGAATCTACAAAATCATATACACAAGAAATATAATCATTTAAATGTGAAATGCATGTAACTAACAAAAATGAGTCAACAAAATTATATTGATTTACTAACCGCAGCACCAATGGCGATAAACAGCAACTCAAAGCGTCCATCTCTATCTGTTTTGATATGAGTTGACAATAAGCCGGCAGTTGGGCAAACGATGCTTCTGGCGACCCCCTCAACAATTCCAAGGCATAACATTTGGCTCTCCAAGCTTGAGAATATGAGATACTAATCTTGAACCGAACATTCATGTCAATCATAATTTCATGTCCCCGATATACCCTACCATTCAAAAACATTAACTCAGCCAGAAAACCACCCAACACCTTTTTGTTTGCCTGTCTATGGTGAGGAAAAACTTGGGTTCTTGAACATGTATGTTTATCAATAAAAGTCCTAACTTGAAACATTTCGCAATCTTTTATCCTCTTTGCAATCATACGCCACGTACAGTTTTTGTCAATCATACACCTTGTTTCGAAACGATCTTAGCTTGATTTGTTAACTTTTAGTTGATAGCCATCTTCCACACATTTCGTATACAAAGCTATCTTCAAGTCTTCCTTTGTATCAAAACAATCATCTTTCTTGATACGAATAATTCTTGTGTAACAATCAACTGCTATCTTTACCAACTCTTCTTCCGGTATCTGAAGTAATTCTGGCATATTCCAGTTATACTCCCGTGGTATTTTCTTCAGGGACTTTTCTTTGGGGATTTCTTCTTCTTCTTTTTCTTCTTCAGTGTTATATGAATTACAGAATGAATGTTCAACATGTTCATTTACAGTCGTAACTTCCTCCTCATTATCATCAACAACATTTTCCTCGGCAACGGCTGTTTCATCATCGAAATTCGGGTATTGACCAATATCAAAATCATTATACGCAGGGTTTGTTTCTTCTTCTGAAAAATCATCAAAATCTGAGTATTGACCAAGATCAAAGTCCGGGTATTGACCAAGATCAAATTTCGAATACTGACTAGTACTCACAATTTTTTCTGTTGGCTCATCATCGTCTAACTGGTCAATACGAAAACCGGAATTTGGTGCTGAAAGTTGATTGGGATTTGGATTAGGGAAAGGTTGTGGGTTTTGAGATTGTGTTTGGTATTAGAAATGTGGTGAAACAATATTTGCTTGATGATGAAATTGTGGTGGAACCCTTAAATTTTAAGCACCATAAACTGGGGTTGAAAAACTTAGTTGATTACTACCCGCTACTGACCCAACTTCACTACTTCTAGGTTCAACAACATACAATGTAACATCATCACTTGAAACACTAATGTAAGCAATGAATCGTTCAATATCTTCATTGTCGGTTAACAAATAAACTTTACCATTTCTCTGATAAGATAGCCTAAATCCACTTAGGGGCTCTAAATTCAATTTATTTGCAACACGTAACATTAGAGTTTCATAAGTTAATTTTTTAATGACAGTTTTAGTTGAAGATTCATGGGTAAAGGCATATATTGTAAAACACCATGAACATTCTCTCATGACCCTCCAAAACACAAATCTATCCAAACATGATCAACATTAGATGATTTCATTATTGTAAATTAATTTACTAAACAAACGAGCTGCGAAGCTAAAACCTGTTGTCGGATGGGGAAGAATGTCGTTGGATATAGGAACGGATGTCGCCGGAGAGAGTGATAGATGGAGATGGAATGAGTTGCGATTTAGGTTATGAGTTGTTGCTGCTGCGTAGTTATATACCCAAAACATTTGTGTTGCGAAACTAAAACCTGTTGTGAATTCAGAAATCGAGTTGCGAATTTGAAATTCAGTATTGCGATAGACAGAATCTCGTTGCGATTCACAGATTCTCGTTGCGATTCACGTAATCGCATTGCGATTTACGTAATCGCATTGCGAATTTGGAAAATCGCAACGCGAATTTGGGAAATCGCAACGCGAATTTGGGAAATCGCAATGCGATAGTCAGAATCGCGTTGTGAATCTGGAAACTAATTTGCGATACCGGAGATCGCGTTGCGAATTATCAATCGCATTGTGATTTAGTTTGTCATTTTGGCAAATCCAAAAAAAATTGGTTAAAATCATATATTATAAGTCATTTTTGATCATTTCTAAAAAAAAAAAAGAATTCCTTTATTTTCTCAAGCTCAAAGCTTTCTCTGAATGTTTATGAATTAATTTTCCTCAGTTTTCCAGTCTTCTTTGGCTGTCATTTTCTTGTTCAAACCGCCTTTTATGATTTTCCAAGTCTAAAATATAATACCCATTTCTTTAAGCTTAATGATTCTTCTCTCTCTATCTCTCTTTGTTATTGAAAGCTAAGATCTCTTCCATATTCTTCTCATGTTTTGCTTTGCCTCTTTCGATAACTTCTAAAATCTCTGTACATAGCAGAAAAACAGAGCTTCATTAATGGCTGCCATCAAATTCGCAACCATGCTGCATAAAAATACTAACAGAATCACTCTTGTTCTTGTCTATGTTTTACTAGAATGGATTCTGATCGCTCTTCTCCTTTCTAATTCCTTATTTTGTTATCTGATTATCAAGTTTGCCGATTACTTTGGTCTTAAAAGGCCCTGCCTTTGGTGTTCTAGGCTTGATCATGTTTTTGAGCCATCGAAGTACCGGAATTCTTATAGAGATCTTGTGTGTGATGAACATGCCAATGAGATTTCTAAACTGGGTTTTTGCTCTAATCATCGGAGACTATCTGAATCTCGAGATATGTGTGGGTCTTGCTTGTCCTCGTCGCCGCCGGAAATGGAAAATGGTGATGATAATTTGAAGTGTTCTTGTTGCGGCATCGTGTTGGCGAAAAAGTGTAATCTTCCTTATTTCATGATTAAGCCTTCTTGGGAAGTTTTTGGAAATCTCCAGAAAGGAAATTTAATTGCTGAAGCTGGAAAAAAAGTCGATGAAGGGAATGCTTCGGATAGAATCAGATCAGATTTTGTGGCCGTTGATCAAGAAGATGAACAGAGGATTGAAGAAAACAGGGGCTTAGGCATCATTTTTGATGATGATGAAGGGATAAAACTGGAAAAAGATGACTTTTCATGTTTTATTTCCAGTTTTGATTGCAACCAAGTGGCTGCTAATGGAGGCGATGTGGTTTTGGAGAAAGATCAAGTATCAGTTGAAGAAGGAGACTTGGTTTTGTCAATGGATGACCAGGAGTTGACTCAAGTGAGTCAAGTCGCTTGTACCAAAGAGGAGTCTCCTGAGATTCGAGCCAAGCATCTAGCGTTTTACATAGAAGGGGATGACTGTCACTTGATTCCAGTTGAATTAATGGATTCCGAAGCTGAGGGAAGCCAAAAAATATACAAGTTCAGAGAGGAAGATCAATGTGTTTCTGAGAGTGGAAATAAAACCAACGTTGCAGAGCTTGCAGTAGTTGAATCAATGGAGTCCAATGAGAAGGAAGATGAAGTTGATGTTCAATCAAATGCAGCAACAATAGAAGGGGAAATCAATGTAGATGTTAATCAAGGTACTTGTTTAATTCAATTCAGTATAATAAAATTTTACCAAATGCCTATTGTTGAGTTTGTCAACTTTGTGCAATTTCTGCAGCAAATGAACCAATTGAAGATATTGAAATGCAAAATTTGGATGAATGCACAAAAGATCCTTCACCCTCCAAGGATGCCGAGGAAGATAAAGTTCCCGATAAACCGACTTCCATTGATGGTTTCCACCCGTTGCACAAGAAATTGCTGTTGCTAGACAGAAGAGAGCCCGGAACCGAAGATTCGTTGGATGGAAGTGTTTTCAGTGACATTGAGGGGGTACTAACTCTTGAGAAATTGAAATCAGCTTTAAAAACCGAACGGAAGGCCTTAAATGCTATGTATAGAGAGCTCGAGGAAGAGAGGAGTGCTTCCGCAGTGGCTGCGAACCAGACGATGGCGATGATAAATAGGCTTCAAGAAGAGAAAGCAGCAATGCAGATGGAAGCGTTGCAGTATCAGAGGATGATGGAAGAACAATCCGACTATGACCAGGAAGCCTTGCAGCTTCTCAATGAGCTTATGGTCAAGAGGGAGAGGGAGAAGGCGGAGCTCGAAAAGGAACTCGAGGTATATCGCAGGAAGGAATTGGATTACGAGGCTAAAGAGAGAATGATGATGCTGAGAAGAAGGAAAGATGACAACACTCGGAGTGCAAGTTCTGCATCTTTCAGCAATGCTGATGATAGTGATGGTGTATCGATTGATCTAAATCATGAATCGAAGGAAGAAGATAAAGAGGATGTTAACCCGAATACCCCTGCTGATGCAGTCTTGTATTTGGAGGAGTCATTGGCTAGCTTCGAGGAAGAGAAGCTATTCATTCTAGAGCAACTCAAGGTCTTGGAAGAGAGATTGATTTCATTGAATGCTGAAGAGGCAGAACAACATTTAGAGTATGTGTATGAAGAGAATGGTAATGGCTTCCACAAGAGTCCCAATTTCGGCCTAGAAACGGACAGGGTTGCGAATGGTCATTTCAAGGGAGTGAACGGGAAACTCCAAGACAAAATAATTCCCATGGCTGCAAACGCAAAGAGACTTCTCCCACTTTTTGATGCCACCGACGCAGACATTGAAGATACGATATCGAGTGGACACGAAAACCGCTTCCATTCTGTAGCCTTTCGACATTCCTTACCTGAACTCGAGAGCAAAATGCTCACAATCGAGGAAGAAGTGGATCATGTTTACGAGAGATTACAAGCACTTGAGGCAGATAGAGAGTTCCTAAAACATTGCATCAGCTCATTGAGGAAAGGAGATAAAGGGCTCCATCTTCTTCAAGAGATTTTACAACATCTTCGCAATTTGAGGAGGTTCGAACTTCGCGCAAGGAGTACCGAAGATGCTTCCATGTAGTTTGCATTCATCAGATCACACTCGAAAAACCGATCGGTAAACCATAATCTGCATTTCCATGTATTCATAACTTCCATCATAGGTGCTGCCATATTGATTTCATGTTCTTGATTATTGCAGAATTCTCAATTGGAGTTGCTTAACCACTGCAAATCTAGTACTAGGAAAAGTAATAGGAAAAAAAAAAACACTGACTCGGGCAACGAATCGACGAGTTCTTCAACGATCTGTAAGTCTCGAAGTGGTAGACCGGAAATCGAAAGTCTGTCATTTTCCCATTGCATCATTTTCACCATATTTGGGGTGCAAATTTGAGTTAGTTGTAAACTACATGCATCGATTTGTATAGTATATATAAAGTGAGTGTTTATAATTTTTTGAACTGTTCTTTTTAGTATTTGTTTTCTTCTTGTAAACTTCCATTGGACATGGTAGAGGTTGACAGGTAGATTGTAAAGGAACAAAACAAGTATTAAAAACAACAGTGAAATGGTTTAATATTTTGATTTCATTTTCAGATTAAGAAGCAAAGATTGCTTTCCGGAATTCATTTTTGCTTCAACCTTAAAACAACACCTAACATGGCCACACCACTTTTTTCAATAAATTAAACCGATGCAATTACTTAACAATAAAATGGTTAAATTACAAAAAAAAACACTAAATTATATTTAAATAATATTTTAATCATTAAACTTAAAAATAAAAATAAAATTTGATATCGTATGCGAACTTTAAAGATAAAAAAGAGAAATGAAGAATGTGGGTAGCAGGATGTGGCAGTGATGGTGTCACATTATACAGAATTTGTTGCAGGTGGGTCGAAATTATAGCTACACAAGATTTGTTGATTAGTTTAGCTTATTATCCACTTCACCTGTGTTCATTAATGAAAGGCTTTTCCCGTCACTTTTGTAGCAGAAGAAAGCAACTGTCATCTCTAATGATTATCAACGCATCGTATAATGACTTCCGGCGCTGATTAAAATGCTTTTACTCATATTACTATCATTTGTTTTATGAAATGAATAATCTAATATTGGTTTCAATGATCATGCATCAACCCTTAATATTTACAATAAATTGTCCGTCTAGCTCAGTTGATAGAGTGTAAGGCTCTTAACTTTATGGTCGTAGGATCGAGCCCCACCGTGGGCAATTCATAATTCTAACTGCCGGAGGTTTTTCACGGAAACTGCTCTCAACCTGGCGTTAGGTAGTAATCTACTACCTACATCCTCTTATCCTATTATTATATATAGGAATAGGGTTTGAAAAAATAAAAAAATATTAATATATTGCAACATAACTTAAATAGATACGTGATCTTAAAGCAAATCCATTTTTAAGACTTGAAGTCCTCAATGTAGTAGAAATAATTTTAGCATTGTCCATAATCATAATTTCATAAAAAATTATTCTAATAAAAGAGATAATCTAATTGTTTTTTAATTGAATTAAAATTGCTTATATGTTTATCACATAAATTATCATTAAATCACATTATAATTGACCTGGAAGTCCTTACTATCCCATCCATTTGAATATTATGTACTACTAATATTCACGTGGACTTATAATTTCCACACGTTCTATTAAATTACATCTTTGGAATAGTATATTTTATTAACGATATCTCTAAAATTGTATTTGTATTTGTTTATTTATTTTTAAATATATTCGTGTTCAAATTATTTAACATTTGTAAATATATTTATTTATATGTTTATCAATATTTTCGTTTAGCGTTCACAATTATATTCATGTAGAAAAATAGTGGAACTCTGCCACTTTTCCTTAAACGTTAGACTTCTCAAAAGTTTATCCTGTGCTCAATTTTGCCATATTCAATTTAGTTTATATCTTTACTAATATTTAAACTATAAAACAAGAAAAACTTGATAAACGAACTTATAAATAATTCAACAAATGAGCTTATAAACAATCTAATAAATGAATTTATTCACGAACATAAATGATCTAAACATGCATCTCTTCGTAATTATTTATTAAATGAACACAAAAAATTTAATTATATCTATTTATTTAACTTAATAAATATATAAATATTTTATAAATATTCCAAATATCAGTGTTTTCCTGACACGTGTCTTACTTTGCGTGCACAAATGACGTGGACAGTGCACCCCATTCTGCCTTTTTCTATTTAACCAATATTTCTCCAAAATCCTCTGAATTTTATGAAGACTGCAGATAATAAAACAGCTACTGATTCCAACGTAACTGCGCTGTCTTCGTTGGTTTCTCATTTCCTTTTTCTAATATCAGGAATGCCTCAATCTACACCTATAATTTTTTTATATCGATTATTGTCACAAATATCTTTCGAAAATTTAGATTTTATAACAACGATGCAGATAAGAAAATATTAATAACAATTTAGATAATGATTAATTAAATATTAAGATAGAAATAGTGTGAAAGAGCTAGTCAACACGTATGTTCATGTATGTATATACATTTCTCTGTTTTGCGCCTACAACAAAAAGAACACGAAAACGTAAGTACCTCTAAATTTTAATGTATTGAAATTTCTTCACCTATCTTGCTGTCTCTCTTTCTACTGTTAAAGCTCCGATTTTCCCCAAAGAATTTATTAGTTCTCATAATTCAGTTTAGAAAATTCTTTCATTTCATGGTCTGTAGTTCCTCAGTTCCAGAATTACCAAGTTTCTTAATATGATGAGCAAATCCAAGGAGTTCTTTCAAAATCTGTTTAAACCATTCAAGTTCAACTCAGACAAAGGTAAAATGAAAAACCCAGTTTTTTTTGTTTTCAATGGGAAAATTACAAAAAATAGGAGGAAAGTCTGACGCTTTTCTACATGTTTGGTGATTTCTGGGTTTTCTTCTTTTTGGTCTATGATCAGATTGGCGGAATGGAGATGACTTGCAGAAAATAGCTCAACAAGAGCAAAAGCATTTCCCTTTCGAGATTTTAGTTGCTGCCACTAACAATTTCAGCCATCATCAGAAGCTTGGTGAAGGGGGTTTTGGACCTGTTTATAGGGTAAGATCCCACCGTTGATAACTTTTGTTTGGTTGCCTAGAAAATTGAGGGAAAACTTTTTCTGATATTGGTTTGCACTTTGATTCGCCGAATATTTATAATTTCTCTCAAGGACAAAATTTTTGTACTTTTTTAGGTATTCAAAGTTTCAACTTTTTGCTTATCAGCTTGAGGATCCCATTTTGAATTTCAGCTTTATTAAAGATTGAACCATTTGCCCTTAATAACTCAAGTCTGTCAAACCATTCAGCTGCTTCCCCCTTTAGATTTGTCTCATCTCAGATGCTAATAACAAGAGCAATGCATACAAATTTACAATTGAAATGGCACATGAAACTTGAAGTTTTGTTGTCACTTGTCAGTACAGTCGGTTCATTATACCAGCCTTACTTTTATAGTTATCAGAACTTCCACCAAGCTTTACAACTGATTTCTCTTGTTAATTAACCTACACTGTGAGGATTTTTTCCCCAAACTTCACGATTGTTCCTTAAATTATAGGGGAAACTAGATGATGGAAGGGAAATTGCAGTGAAGAAGCTATCTCATAGCTCAAATCAGGGTAAAAAGGAGTTTGAGAATGAGGCTAGGTTGCTAGCTCAAGTGCAGCACCGCAATGTTGTGAACCTTTTAGGTTACTGTGTTCATGGTCAGGAAAAGCTTTTGGTATATGAGTACATCACCAATGAGAGTCCAGACAAGATTCTTTTCAGTAAGTTGTGATTTCTTCGCCGTTATTATTCAAGAATTTTAGCTCTGTGTTTAGAAACTATGTGATCTCGGATTACACAATGGGAATAAATCCTCTCCCATGCCACTAAGACCAATCTTCCCATATATGTACTTGAATTTCCGACCTCCAAGTTGGAGTCTGAAATTCTAACTTATTGGTAAGATCTAGTATGTACCTGATTGTAATGGCTAAGTTCACTGTAACTGAAATCTAAACCCATTATGGACATGCCAAAATGTATCTTATATATCAAGATCAAAGATAGTTCTGCTGGACTCTCTTTTCTGAAACTTAGTTTCTAGAACGCATGCCCGAAATTTAGTACCGGATAATTTGTTGTCAAATTATTTATCATTAACTAGTCAAAGGATCTGTGTCATGAAACACCGGTCGTATGGTCGTATGTTAACACAAAGATGACGAGAATTTTTCATTTGGCTTTTATGGTGATAATAATCTTGACAGTGACGTTCTTTTCTCATGCAGAATCGAATAGAAAATGGGAGCTTGACTGGATGCGGAGGTATGAAATAATTTCGGGTGTGGCACGGGGCTTACTCTACCTTCATGAAGACTCGCACAATCGCATCATTCACCGGGATATCAAAGCAGGTAATATACTACTTGATGATAAATGGATCCCAAAAATTGCTGATTTTGGTATGGCTCGTCTCTTCCCTGAGGATCAAACACATGTCAACACCCGTGTAGCCGGTACCAAGTATGTCATCTAGCATCTTCCTTGATCTATAATATGACAAGGTCTTTTGGTAATTTCATGATATCCTATTCATTCGTCCTAAAGTGTTGATTTAACAGAGTTCTATTTATCTTTGGAAACCAGTGGATATATGGCACCGGAGTACGTCATGAACGGACATCTCTCAGCAAAGGCAGACGTGTTCAGCTTCGGGGTTGTGGTTCTGGAGCTGATAAGTGGCCAGAGAAACTCATCGTTCAACTTAGATGTGAATGCTCATAGTCTACTTGATTGGGTAAGAACAAATATCACGATTCGATCATTCTTTCAACCTAGATAACTCTTCATTATCCATGGGGGTCAGTTCTTGAATGTTTTCTTGTAAGACCTCACGTGCACCGGAGTCTTGTGCACCGTACTTCTGCTGTCAATGTGGACTTTTAAGGATCTCCGACTCCGAGTGGAAACATGCCATATTTAACCTTTACAAGTTAGGTATATAAAGATCCCACATGTTTGAAGTAGGAACCATTGTTCATCTAGTTCCCACCAATGAACATAAAGAAAAGTTTTAGTTGCAGAAGAATTCAAACATTAACTGGCATTTGTGGGGTCATTTTGTTATTGCAGGCTTATAAACTTTACAAGAAAGGGAAAAGCATGGAGTTCATGGACCCGGTCTTGGCTTCATCCGCAGTCCCTGAGCAATTAGCTTCGTGCATCCAGATAGGGCTACTATGCACGCAAGGGGACCCGCATATACGGCCCGACATGAGCCGTGTTGTTATTTTGCAGTCAAAGAGACCTGGCAGTCTCGAAGAGCCAACGAGACCCGCAGTTCCGGGTACTAGATACCGAAGATCCCGCAGGCCTCTTGGATTCTCTTCCACCACAGCAACGTCAAGTCTTTCGGATTCCCATTCATCTGGATCAATCTTTAATACAAATACTGCTTCTGCTTCTACATCAGCTCTTGCAAGCCCCGTGAGATCAGATCCGCATGGAAAGTGCTCAGTTCAGAGTTGAAGTTTTGCGGGAGATCTTGGGTTATTCTTTTGTTTTTTTAGCTGACCCTATTCTCATATGTAATGGGGTAAGAGGAGATAGGATAGTAGGCTGCCCCCAACGTCAGGTTGAGAGCAGTTTCCGTGAAAGACCTCCGACAGTAAGATTTATGAATTGAACACCGTGAGTTATTCTTTTGTGTATTATAATAATAGATCTCGGGTTACCAATTTAATTAGCCAAAGTAGGTGCATATTTATGTTAATCGTGTTCAGAGAACATGTCAAATGTAGATATTTATCTATTACACAGATATAATCAGATAATACCGAACATATATTTGAATTCATTTAACATGAAATATTAGAAATTTATTTGTTCAACCTCGATTTATTTATCTTAAAGTGCCACGATTATGAACATCTAAAAGAAACTCTATACTCTCTGACTTTACTTGTACGATTTGGATAACCTTCGAATTCGGAAACTAGACAGCGACAATCGAGGGTCTATTGTACAACCATGTCTATATTCTCCCTCGTGATTCCAACGACGTGTCTTTCTTCCATTCGTCTTCATAAGTCTGACGCCTTCTGAGGAACCAATAGAACTTTGACAAGAGGGAAAATAAAATAAAATAAGGTTAATTGTTAATATCGAACACATTTCACAAATATATTATTGGAATCTGAAGAAAAACAATACTTCGCTACCATTTAATTGGCCACTCAGGACATTTTTTATTTTTCAAATTGATGAAGTTCATGAATCCAGACTTTTGAAACCTTCCAATCCTATTTCAGTATTATAGTATCTAGAATTGTATTCTAGAATATGCAATGTGTGCATGTGCTCTTAATATGGGCATTGTGTGTGTGTGAGAGTTGTTATGGCTGTTAAGGAATGTTGGAATCTGTTAAGGAATGTTGGAGTCTGTTATGAATTTGTTATAGAGGTAAAGTAAGCTTGAAGGCACAACTTCTATATATAAGCTGGTTGTAATGCAGTTTGATAGTAACTGAATGAAAATTACCAAACGTTATTCATTGAGTTTCTTAGTTTATCAACATGGTATCATTCGCCAAACGGTCCTGACTTTGTTTTTTGTTTTTTCTTCTGCTGCATGGAGTCTGTTGGCTCTATTTTGACTGCCAAGAGCAGCTCTTCTGTTGAGAAGAACTATGAGATGCCTGTGAGCTCGACTTCAGTGGCGTCCAGTGGGAATTTTCCCTTCACTACATCAGACATGCCAGGGATGGAAGTAGACACATCAACGCTTGATTCAGCCTTCACAACAGATGTGGCAAGTTCAATAGGATTGCAGCAGGGACTTGATAATGGAGCTGAGAATTGTAGAGATTCCCTTAGATCACTCGGTCAAATTCAGTGGAATTTCAGTCTCACAGATCTGACAACAGATATGTCAAACTTGGGAGATTTAGGAGCCCTTGGAAACTACACTGGTTCTCTTTTTCTTCCTTCTGATTTAGAAATGTTGCTTGATTCTTCGGAGCAAGAGGATATAGTGGAGGAATTTTTTGTTGATTTTGTCCCTGGACAGCCATGATCCCCATATGATGAAGAAAAATCCTAGGCCAAGGTAAGTGTTGTAGCTTATCTTCTTGAAGTTGTTAGGACGGGTTAGAGTTAGAATAATAAAAGCAGGCATTTGACGTCTATTCGGTAAGGGCATTTTGTTAACAAATTCCAGCATCTCGACAGTGTAAATTTAGCTTCATCAACCAAATAGCAATTAATAAACAAGAATGCAGCCAAGTGTCCATGGAAAAAATATATGTCAATGAACCTTGTAAAAGAGGATGAAGAAGAAAGAAATGAAGGTGAATAAGAAGAACGAAATGAAGCATCGGCACTTTCGATTCAAGTGAACGGAAGGAAGCATCAACACTTTCGATTCAAGAAGAACGAAAAGAAGCATCAACACTTTTGATTCAAGGAACGGAAGAAAGCATAAGCACTTTCGATTCAATTGTTCATCTTTTCATTATGGAGAAGGAAAATAGTAGGGAGAATATTAGAGTATCTAGAATTGTATTCTAGAATATGCAATGTGTGCATGTGCTTTTAATATGGGCATTGTGTGTGTGTGAGTTGTTATGGCTGTTAATGAATGTTGGAATCTGTTAAGGAATGTTGGAGTCTGTTATGAACTTGTTATAGAGGTAGAGTAAGCTTGAAGGCACAACTTCTATATATAAGCTGGTTGTAATGCAGTTTGATAGTAACTGAATGAAAATTACCAAACGTTATTCATTGAGTTTCTTAGTTTATCAACATGGTATCATTCGCCAAACGGTCCTGACTTTGTTTTTTCTTCTGCTGCATGGAGTCTGTTGGCTCCATTGTGACTGCCAAGAGCAGCTCTTCTATTGAGAGGAACTATGAGATGCCTGTGAGCCCGACTTCAGTGGCGTCCAGTGGGAATTTTCCCTTCACTGCATCAGACATGCCAGGGATGGGAGTAGACACATCAACGCTTGATTCAGCCTTCACAACAGATGTGGCAAGTTCAATAGGATTGCAGCAGGGACTTGATAATGGAGCTGGGAATTCTAGAGATTCCCTTAGATCACTCGGTCAGATTCAGTGGAATTTCAGTCTCACAGATCTGACAATAGATATGTCAAACTTGGGAGATTTAAGAGCCCTCGAAAACTACCATGGTTCTCCTTTTCTTCCTTCTGATTCAAAAATGTTGCTTGATTCTTTGGTGCAAGAGGATATAGTGGAGGAATTTTTTGTTGATTCTGTCCCTAGACAGCCATGATCCCTATATGATAAAGAAAAATCCTAGGCCAAGGTAAGTGTTGTAGCTTATCTTCTTGAAGTTGTTAGGACGGGTTAGAGTTAGATTAATAAAAGCTGGCATTTGACGTCTATTCGGTAGGGGCATTTTGTTAACAAATTCCAGCATCTCGACAGTGAAATTTTAGCTTCATCAACCAAATAGCAATTAGCAAACAGGAATGCAACCAAGTGTCCATAGAAAAAAATATATGTCAAGGAACCTTGTAAAAGAGGATGAAGAAGAAAGAAATAAAGGTGAATAAGAAGAACAAAAGGAAGCATCGGCACTTTTGATTCAAGTGAACGGAAGGAAGCATCGGCACTTTCGATTCAAGAAGGACGAAAGGAAGCATCGACACTTTTGATTCAAGGAACGGAAGAAAACATCAGCACTTTCGATTCAATTGTTCATCTTTTCATTATGGAGAAGGAAAAGAGTAGGGAGAATATTAGAGTATCTAGAATTGTATTCTAGAATATGCAATGTGACTAAGTCCGTGACAATGTGCTCCTAATATGGGCATTGTGTGTGTGTGAGTTGTTATGGCTGTTAAGGAATGTTGGAGTCTGTTATCAATTTGTTATATAGGTAGAGTAAGCTTGAAGGCACAACTTCTATATATAAGCTGGTTGTAATGCAGTTTGATAGTAACCGAATGAAAATTACCAAACGTTATTCATTGAGTTTCTTAGTTTATCAACATTCAGATTCTTCCCACGTCACCGATCCTCCTGATCTCCTATGTAATAAACCGCATTCGTTGGATGTAAACCTTCCCAACCGTTGGATCATAGCTCCTATCCTTCTTATTCCTCCCACTTTCTTTTCCTTTTAAACCAACAATCTCATCTTCGTCTCACTTCACAACAACAGTTCCTCTCTTTCACTCGCTTTCTTCGGACAAAACAAAGAGACAGAGAGCTTCTACTTTCAATGGCAGCTGCTGTCGTTACTAACGGTACTCAAGGTCCCCCACACGCTCGACAATCTTTACTTCCAGATTACCCTCAGGTACTTGTGTCTTGCCCTAAAGGGTTTTTTTTCTTGTATCATTCCGTGTTAGCTTATTTTTCGTTTTGAATTGTCTTCGCAGCTGATTTTGGAAGCCATAGACGCATTGAACGAGAAAGCAGGGTCGAATAAGTCAACAATAGCGAAGCACATCGAGTCGACTCACATGGATCTCCCAGCTGCTCACACCACTCTACTTTCCCACCACCTTAACAAGATGAAACAAAGCGGTCAAATCGTGATGTTAAAGAACAATTACATGAGACCCGACCCAAATGCTCCACCCAAGCGTGGACGTGGGCGTCCACGTAAGCCCAAGGCTCCTATTCCACCTGGCACCGTCGTCTCTCCGCCTAGACCTCGTGGTCGTCCGCCCAAAGATCCGCTTGCTCCGCCTAAGCCCAAAGCCACTCCCGGAAGTGGAAGGGCACGCGGGCGCCCCCCTAAGATGGCTAAAACGACACCGCCCGCCGACCCTTCAACTGCTGGAGTTAAGCGAGGCCGTGGTCGACCGCCGAAAGTGTAACCCAAGGGCGAAGTTGCGGAGTTCTTTTTCTTTTATTTCTTTAACTTTTTAATATTTTTAGGTGATGTTTAGTTCTCTCCTTCACTGATTATTGTTTTAGGCCTCTGTTTAATTATTTTTAACTGGAAAAAAGTGTTGTAATGTATTCAGGAAGGCTTTAGACTTGAGTGACTCGTAATTTGCATGTAAATCCGTTAAATTATGTAATATTCTGGTCTATATTATTGAGAATAACTTGATGTAATTTATGTGCAGGAATCTGTAATCTTTTAAACAATTTAACTTTACAGATAATTATACACATAAAAGGGAACTGTTGTGTAAGGTGGCAAGTTTCCTTTTGAGAGCACGCCTGAAATTCGTTAAAAAGTAGAGGGAAAAAAAAGGGAAAAACAGAGAAGATTATTTTGGTGATATTTTTATTGGGTTTGTTGATTCTTTTGCACATGCAGTGGTAAGCTAAGGCAATGGCAATAGTGAATTAAAATTTTGTAAGAAAAATGTTTTGAATTATTTTTTTTATAATTATTTATATTCAATCTATTAATTATTTAGTTCAAATTGATATTTTATGTAGGGACGAATCTATATAAAGGATGAAAGTTATAGTCTTTTTCATAATTTTTAATTTAATAACATTTTATATTCTTATAAGTATAAATTTAAGAAAAAAATAGATTTTTGTCCTCTCTAATTTTTTAGATAAAAAATATAATAAATCTTTATTATTTTGAACTTAAATATTTTGTTTCTCTCAATATTTAATCATAATAATTAAATTCAAAAATAACTTTGTTTAAAGGATAAAATATCTCTTTTAATATAACATTAGAGACAGATTTATTAGGCCGGGGTAACTTTGTTTATTACACCATCGGAAAAGTCATTAAATACAATATAGGATTGGACTAAAAATCCATCCCCAGCCGTTGGATCAAAAATAATATATTCTAACGGCCAAATCATGAATTTGAAAACAAAAAGAGGGAAACAAATTCATAAATCCAGAGTTCTGAAAACTTCCAATCCTAGTTCAGCTTCAATCCACATCACCGATCCTCGTGATCTCATATATAATAAACAAGAGCCGTTGGATCATAGCTCCTACACTTCTTCCTCCCATGATTCTTTTCCTTTAAAACTCAACCTAATCTCCATGTTTTCAAACACTAATTTTAGTTAATATGTTTATATCTATCTCAAATGACCTTCAAATTTTCAACAAAAAATAGGAATTTGAAATGTAAAAACATTCAATAAAATAACGTCTTATAATTAAAAGATCATTTTATAATTTTTAATAATCAAATGATTTAACAAAACAACACTCTATAATTAAAGATTATTCATATACTTTACACTTATGATTAATACTCCATTTGTATATATATATGAATGATTGTATGTTTTTCGGGACAGAGGGGACAGTTTGATGTTGAGGTATTTTTGATTCGGCAAATGACAATGTGAAATTGATGAAGTTATTCATCGAATGCGAACTTCTCAACAGCCACCGAAAACAATCGGTACACTTTTTCAAAAAGTGTAGAAAGGACTTGAGATTATGGAGGAATGAGAAAATATAAATAAACCCTAAACAAAAATATTAATAGTTTTGAGGCTGATCGTACACGACATTATGTGTACTGTCCAAGGAGACAAAACAAACCATTGTATGTATTAGTTCATTTCTTCAAAAATAAAAACAACTTCAGCATTTATACAAGTTTTATATTTATCCACTTGACAAATCCAACTACATAAAATATATACATATACACACACAATTTCAACACATGAGTCACTTTCATATTTACACTTTTCAAATGACGAAATCACCCCTCAAGGCTCAACCCATCAACAGATTCAAAGTCCAGCATCAAATGGCACTCCAGTTCCCGGAATCCAAGCATTCCCGGCGAGAAAATTACTTACGGTGAATTTCCCGGCATCAGCGGCAGCTATAACATGATATCCACCCCATTTCACTCTTCCACCGGTGCCTGCTCCGGGGCCGGTGTTCATATGTTCGGCATAGTAAAGACTGCTCAAGGCAAAATTTCCACTCCACGGTAACCAGCCTTCTGCATCAATCAGTCCATCCAAACCACTCTTCATAAACACAGTTCTTGAATATTTCTGCCATGGCCGCCCCAAATAGCTCTTGAATGAACCCTGAACCGCTCTCAAGTCAGATGATGCCGTCACGCGTGAGTTGTGGATGATTATGCCCGTATTCTCATTCGGGTCGGTTCTCGCTTGGGCTGTGACGGTATTCATCTGACCGCTCATCGGTCTTCGGATGTAAATGTTGCAGTTTTGTAAAACGGCAACGGCGTCGCCGAATATAAAGTCCACGGTTCCGTAAATGTCACAGTCACGGTAGAACTGACGTTGAGAATAGACGTATAAGGTATCCTGGTAACCTTTGAAGCTGCAACGGTAAAAGACTGAGAAATCGGAGCCGGACCGGAGGGCCACTGCCTGGTGTTTTTGGGGCCCGGCTGTGTTCTCGAAGGTTATGTCACGTGCTATGAAGCCGTCGCCGGAGACACCTAGAAGAAGAAACAAATGAACTCAGTTAGTAATCTAATGATATTATGGATGGAAAGAAGAAAAAAGAAAGAAAAAATATTATTGTTTTAGTTATATTATGCTGTATAAATTAGTTGTTTGGGATAGTTGGGGAAGAAGGAGACATAAGAATATCCAATTACTTGTAAAAGTTGAGTTACTTTTTACTATTAAAGAAGGGGAAAAAACACAAGACTTGTGGATATTTTGCATGAGAGTCACAGTTTGTTTTCTAAAGCTATGGGAAATAAAATTCCTTTAGTTCAAAGATGAAAATAAAATGGAGCAGTCGGAAGAGCATTTTCAGTCATAAATTATTTGACGGCTTACCAACAGTTGCTGTACGAAAAGTTGTGACGGTTTGAGCATTTTTGTTACCACTGATAACTGTGGCATCCATCCCATCTCCAATCAACATTATGTTTTTAGCTGATCTTGGAATATCCACATTTTCATTGTACACACCAGCTTTTACGTGTATGACGGTTCTCCGTCCACCGCCAACTGTTGCCACTGCCTCCGATATGGTCTTGAAGTTACCAGAACCATCTTTAGCCACCACGATATCAGCATTTAATGGTGCACTGGTTTTCTGTAGGAGCTTCCGGTCTGCACCCGAAAGCCAAGTAGGGAATTTATGGCCGAGCAGGCGTCTATTACCAACTTGTTTAGTGGTAGCAGTGGGCTTATTTATGGCCAGGGAATTGCTAATCAACTTGGAGAAGTTGCCTAACATGGATGGTAAGGTTTGCAAATGAGAGGCCAAGTTGAAATCAATGAAGCCATTTTGGCAGGTTTGTTGATTGGCAATTGCGGCGCTTAACCAGGTTTGAGCATCTAATGGGTTGCTAGTGCTCTTTGATCGGTTAAGATGGACAATGGTGTCCTGGTAAAGCTCCAAGCAGTCATTCCAAGCTAATTTGGCTCGCTCGTCGAACGAACTCGAGTCCATGGTGGAGACGAGCCGATGAGCTTGAACCGCTTGGTCTAAGGTGACCTGGAACGCGAGGTCACGGAATGAAAACCGGGTTTGATCAAGGGCAAGGGTTGATGCAACATTAACAACATATCCCATGAAATGGTTGCAGACATCAGGGTAGGGTGTTTGGGAACATGATGATATTGTAGCACCATGCACAAAGTTCCCGAGCGGGAAAGAAGTGAAGAAACAAGCAGTGAAAAAAGCAAGGGCAAGAAGCTTCTCCATGAAGACTGTTATATTCCGTAAAGTTTTTAAAAGTTTGAACTGATGAAAAGGAAGGGAGGGAAGAGGGATTTATATAGGGATAGAAAAGAGGGCATCATTTGGTGGGACAAACTAGCATGGAATGTGAATGGGTTTTGGGGGCCATGCACATAATGTTTACGTTAAAACATAATCTTTGGGGATTGCTTAATGGTTCAGGGATTATCCTACGTATTATGGTTTCTATTTGTGCATGCGGTTTATTAACTGATAGCATTTATTTTTCTTGTCATCCCAATTTCAATACAATTTGTTTGTTTTTCTTTACATTGTTTTATTGATATGATGGATATAATAATAGTGAAAACATTGACTTATGACTCAACAAGTCTTTGCAATTGTAACTTCATTGGGATGTTAGGAGAAATATGTGGTTTGGTAGTGGTTATTGGGGTATTTTGCACTTTTTACAACTTTTCCATTGGGATTTTGTTCTAGGTGTATATTTACGTATATTCTTTAAATAATTACAATAAATTATTTATTTTTAAAATATTAACCACAACATATATAAATTTTGAAAACGTAACTGTTCGAACTCGATACCTTTAAAAATAATAATACTACCTTTTACCATTAAGTCACCTCATTGATTTCATATTAGCACAAATATTAGCAAGACTTGTTCTAATCATATTTTAATTATTGAAAACATATATCATATATGATTTAGAATTAAATGATGGTGCATAACCTTAGAAATTTAGGGTATGAATTTTAAATTTTAGAGTTTAAAATTTAGAAAAAAATTTAATGTTTAAAAAATATGTAAACATTATTTATGGAATTCAAACATTTTATTACACTATATTAAATATTAATTCTATATAATAAATATGGATTAGCAAAGGGTTGATAAGGCAATATTAGACTTGGGCAGCAGTACAACCCACAAATTTAAAGCATGTTTGAAGGACTCCACCTGCAATTAGACCGCCACTAATCCCTCGTCCACCAAAAGTTACCAAGATTTATCCGAGTTGGATTTTATTTATTTATTTATTCTGTTTTCATTTTATTTTGTATTAGAAAATACAATAGATATGGATTATCAAAGGGTCCATAAGACTGTGTTAGACATGAGCAGCAATATAAACCACAAATTTAAAGCTTGTTTGAAGGACCCCTCCTACAATTAGACCACTACTAATACATTGTCCACCAAAATTATGAAATTAGATTGCATTATCACTAATCAAAC